CCCGTCAATCGGAAAGGTGTTCTTCTTCTCCACGACAATGCACGTCCACATGTGGCATGTTTAACGCAACACAAGATTATGGAGCTGAGTTGGGAAGTTCTCCCTCACCCACCATATTCTCCAGATATGGCACCATCAGATTACCATATTTTTCGTTCGTTGCAACTCCATCTTAATGTGAAAACATATGCAAATGTGGAAGGTGATAAATAGGACATCGACATGTTTTTCGCTTTAAAGCCAAGTGATTTCTTTAATCAGGGCATTAATAATTTAATTGTAAGATGGAAAAGCATCATCAATAAGAATGGGGACTATTTTATTTAATAAATGTTTTATTTTGATATATAAGTTGTTCAGGTTTTTTCATCTAAAAAAGGGACATTTATTTCTTGACGACCTAATAAATACGAAACCTCACTTTGTTATTATAGAGTCGTTTGATTCTATATATAGGAATGGCCAAGGTACTCAGTGTGCATAATACAAATATGCACGCCCAAAATCAACGAAGACAGAGAGTTATACTATAAAATATGATTGCCATTCACGTTTATTTGTTGCTCTACTCAAAAGCAAAGCAAGAAACCATCGCTAAGATATCAAACCAGAAAGTTACCAACCTACCAAATTGTTCATCTTTCTTCTTATTGTTTGAGTCGATATAACTCTACAAGTACTTTATCACTAACGTCAGTTTAAACCTAAATTCACTCTATGTGTTTCTGGGCAGAGCACTATGCCATTGCTTTGTCGTAATAATTAGTAGTAATTAAAAAGAAAAATCATCATTCTAGTGTAAACAGTGTTACCATTATCCTTGAAGTTAGCTTTTTACAGAAATCTAGTGTTCTTTTAAAAACAGTAAGTATAGGGTGAAACAGGAATTACCAGCCAATAATAGATGAACATTAGATGAGTGTAACATGTAGAATACTCAATGCAATGTACACCATACAATCGGTGTATTTAAAGAGCCAACCCCTATATTATGTATGAAATGAAAGAGTAAAAAAAAATAATTAATGAATACAATATTAAATGTTATTAGACACATTCATAAAATACACTCACTTTCAGTCAGGTGAAAAACGTCACAAAACAAATAATAAAAACATTTTGTAAATGTAAAATGATGTAAGGATGGTTGTGCCAAAAATCATGCAAGCAAGAATATAGGGATGATACAGCTGTACATAGGTCATCCTACATGCCTTTCAATGTTACACTGTAAAACGCATACTTGACTTTAATATTACTGAAATTGGAAGTTATATATTTCTCACTGTTGGAATGCATTTTCTTTATCATAATATCATGGTAAGGTCAGGGTAGATGTCAATGTAGTGTAAATAAGAGCCTAGGGCTTACATACAAGGAAAACCAAGTTGAGTCAAAACTTGTCTTGATTATTACAGACTCTGGCTGCGAGGTCGGTCGAATCGACTAGCTTCGTAACCATTTTGTTATTGTACATTTTACAGTGTAACATTAACATTTAATATTGAGAGTCATGTAAGGATGGTCTAGATATAGCTGTATTATCCCTATATTCTTGTTTGAATTCTTTTTGTCACTGCCAACCCTTCATAATTTTACATCCATAAAATATTTTTATTACATGTTAATATATTCGTGTTCTGTTTAATGACTTTTACCTAAGTACTAGCATCATACCCATAAACTGACATGTGTTCGATTTTTTAAGTACTCATCATTAATTCACAGCCTCTCGCCAGTAGATTTATACATTCTTCAATGTTTAATGGATTAATCCTAGTCTCTTAGGATTATTTGCTAAACAACTTCAATTATTATACGATGCACGTTTGCCGACATGAAAAAGGATATAGTAATCTTTAACTCGGTTTCTTTATTTAATGTTTAGTAAAAAAAAAAAACTTCTTTCCGATATTTAATGAAAACACATCAAACTCACCTTTAATGAAAGTGAAAACTATTCATTGGTACAGATATTGAGGATAGGTTTGAAAAATGTGTTTCTGTGTAGAATATACATAGTTAAGAAAATTCTGATACCGCTAATGTGTTTTGACTTTTATGAAGTTAATAGTACGCCCATGCGTGCGTGGCCCAAATTATTTAGAGCCATTTGATATGTTTTCTTCGAAAATAACTTGTAAAGTTAAAGAAAGTCACACGGAATATCCTGAGTAATTAAATTTATCAAATGCGAACATTAGATGGCCTAGTATATTTCATCAGACAATATTTAATATTGCAGTGGATAGAATAAAATAGAAATAAAAGTATATAACACTGCACACACAAAAACTTTATATTTAAGTATTGATTTTTAATTTTAACAAGTTTGGAAATTCCCAGAATTAACAGTAAAGCACGTTTAAAAGTACACTTCATCAAAAGAGTGAATGTTTTTTCCTCGTACTCAGTCCTACAGCTTAATTGGAAGCACGTATGTTGAGTTTTTCGTGGAATCCTGTTCTTTAACTAAGTCGACCATGGTTCATATTACCTGTAGTGTGTAAAGTTTGGACAGACAATTGGAGATAATCCCTGAAACACGTTTCTTTGTCGTGAAAAATGAAAGTTGCGCATTAAAACGAACAGAGTTTAGAGCGTATAACTGGAAATTCGTCAAGCACATGCATGTAAAATCCTAAACACAGAAATGTATACTTAAATTTCTCGCAGCACTGATAAAATATTTCACCGCTTAGTTTCATTAATTGAAACTAATCGAACCAGAAGAAAAATGACTGAAAATGTAACAAAGTGATGGTAATGAAAGGATTTTAACTTTATTTATAACAATAGAACAAGCAAGATGTACAGTTTGCTTTGTATTGGCTATTTTAGATAAATTGTAATTCATGATTTTGGTTTTGTCATTAACAATAAGACAACTAAAATATACATTGTTTGTTACAATGACTATTTTCGATAAATTGAATGACTATATCTTATTAATAGGGGCCCGGCATGGCTAGGTGGTTAGGGTGCTCGACTCGAAATCTGCGAGTCGCGAGATCGAATCCCTGTCACACCAAACATGCTCGCTCTTTCAGCCGTGGGGGTGTTATAATGTGACGGCCAATCCCACTATTGGTTGGTAAAAGAGTAGCCCAAGAGTGGTGATGACTAGCTTGCCTTCCCTCTAGTCTTACACTGCTAAATTAGGGACGGCTAGCGCAGATAGCCCTCGTGTAGCTTTGCGCAAAATTTAAAAGAAACAAACTTATCAATAAAACAAATATAATATAGGTTTACAGTGTGAACGCGTTTTACTCATTTTACGCGTTTTGTCATGAAACATCAGTATTATTTTTATCAGACATAGTGTAGCTGAAATACTATAACACACTCTTCTTCTTAGAAGGCACCTCTAAGGGGCTTAATAAACAATATGGTGTTTAGAAACACACAATAAGCCTAATACCATTGTATTATGATAAATATAATTTATTAAGATATACATTATTTGTCTTAAAGGGTGTTTTTCGATAAAGTGAAATTTCGAAATGAATGACGTTTCTCCGTTCACACGTTATTACAACAATATGCCATTTCGCTTTCCTGACAAGGAAGTTTGAACAGATTTCCCCATGCGATTTGCTACCATCATTTTATTTTAACGTAAACTGTCACTTGGATCAATTTTAATATGTTCTCTTCCTGGGGAGTGAAGTGAACTTGAAGTGATAGTTATTCTGCTCTGAATTTTTTTAACTAAAAGTTCTGTTACTTCTTCTTATTCTAAAAGCTCATTTAAAAACAAACAAAATATTCTACTCCCTTTCCGTAGGCCATTAAAGTTTTCTTACATTCTCCTTTTTTTAAGCCTTCATATAATTAGATTTCTACATACATTTCTCAAAGCTGAACTGAAACTAGAAACAGTTTGTTTTTTTTGCTTGCCAAAGAATCAATGACTTAAGATTCTTATTTTTCAATTAAGAGTGAAAGCCTATTTACTCCTGCTGTAAATACAAATTAAGCTAAAAAAAAGTGTATCTTTATTTGTTTTAAAATATACGTTTGAATAACTTTTATAGAACGATTGTTTAAATCTCCTAATCTTGTTGCTAGTTTTGCCCGAGGGGAAGCCTACAATAGATGGAATAGACCGGATGTACGAGATTGGTGATCACGTAAACTTGACCTGTGTTTCCAGACCTTCAAAACCGGCAGCAGTGTTGTCCTGGACAATAAATGGTCGACCGGTGAGATATATTTTCTTGATCTAGAAACAAAACAATGATATTCTGGGAGTTTACATATATTTGTATAGTGTAATAGAGAGAAAGCTTTATTACTAACTATTCCCGAATTTCCATTCTTTGAAAAACACATTATATAATATAGAGTAAACCAAAACCGACCGTCAGGACGACATTTCATTTTTCAACATTTTAGTTTCACATTGCGAAGACTTCCACTTACACAGCGGCAAGTCTGTAGGCTTATAACGCTAGAAACCGGGTTTCGATACCCGTGGTGGGCAGAGAACAGAAAGCCTATTGTGTAGCTTAGTGCTTAACAACAAAACAAATAAACAGACACACTGCGAATCTAATATAGTATTCTCTCTCGATATTGTAATTCTACAATATTTCCGGAAATTAGGAGAAGCTGTATTTTCATTATAATGAGAAATGTCGTACTTCTTTCGAAATCATTAAGAAAACGGTTTCAAGAAACATGTTTGCGTTCCCATAACGCTCAACTATTTGCATCAACACACTAAGAAAAAAAAACAACCTAATTGGCAGCCGAAGTATTATATCATACCTCATTGTATGAATCAATGGTTACTGAAATCAACTTGTTCCACTCTCAATGGGGAGAAACGAATATGAAAAAAAAAAAATTCTTGGTTCATCTTATTGAGGTACAGCAAGAGCTTGAATATTGAAAATAAATATATATATATATAAGAAGGAGGTAAATTTTATGTTTAAATCAATCGACCAGCATGTCAATGAATATCATGTTTAGGGACACAGTAAGGCAACAACTGTGAAAATTAATAAGTTTAAATGATAGTAATATTTCCAACAAACTTTTTTTCAGCTCCGGTTACCATAAGAATGCCTTTTAGATAGTGTAGCTTGTATCTCCATCTCTAATTGCAACATATTGGTTGAAAGCATCGGTTATCTATAATGTGAATGAAAACTATCTACTCATGCCCCTGCTGCTTGAAGAGACGTTACGATGAAAACATTATTGCACTTGCCTGATCTTCACCCTGATGAAAGGTTTGTTTGTGTCACAATTTTCGTGAAAATCTACATAGAGGTGTTTGCTACCGTTAGTCGTATAGCGCACGCATGGAACCAACTATACATACATTTAGGTTCCAAATTATTAGCAACCAAAACATGAAAACAAATACAACCATAAACATATATATGAAAACCTTTGTGAAAATCAAATCACGTAATGTAACTTACACTTATGAAACTAATTTCGTGCTACTGAGAAGTGAGGAAGCATAAAAAATATACTTGAACCACAAAATAGGAATCTCAATAAGCAGAACGCTTTTGGAAGATCGACCGCCTTTCTTCACAGAAATGAGCTGGAATAAAGCTAATAATATAAAGAGTGTCTAGCAACGTAAGCAAAAACAAAAACATGCAATGTGTATAAATTATAACCTGTCTGTATTACAGGAAGTTAAAAATGATAAATATATAATTTTGATATGTAAACACATTTTTTATCATGTATCCCCTCTGTAGCACAGTGGTAAGCTTGGTGGCTTATAATACTAAAATTCTAGGTTTGATCCCCGCGGTGACTACAGCACAGAAAACCCATTTTGCAGCTTTGTACTTGTCATTAAACAAATAGTCATTATTTACGCCTGAGTACATCGTAACGAAATTCTTTTTAATGTCGGGAACAATTAATTCACTAGTTTCTGTAACAAATTCGTCAACTTACTTGATTTTACTTTAAAAACCAAAGTAAAACTGGAACTTAAACTACTTTATAACATCAGGCACTTTCAGAGAAACGGAGAATATCGAACAGAATCATCAAACCTCCAAGTCTAATTGTTGAATCGGTAACAGATTCGAAGGTTAAACTGTGCAAGAACTGGCAGTTAAAAGAACTATATGGACACTAATGCTTATTTAATGAATATTAAGTTGGTTCATAAAAATATGACATGATATTGGTACTGAACATAAATGTTAGAACATTAACGAACTGCATTGTGAAGTATAGTAAAATAGACAAATTGTATCGAAAACACGTGTCATAAAGTAATATAAATATTATATGAACATATCTGAAACAGAATAGAGATAAAATTGTAAATAATTTTGAAAACTGAGATATGACTGTTATATCTTAAATAAAATACAAGAAGATTTATTATCAGATAGGGCCCGGCATGGCCAGGTGGTTAGGGCGCTCGACTCGCAATCTGCGGGTTCGAATCCCCATCACATCAAACATGCTCGCCCTTTCAGCTGTGGGGACGTTATAATGTAACAATCAATCCCACTATTCGTTGGTAAAAGAGTAACTCAAGAGTTGGCGGTGGTTGGTGATGACTAGCTGCCTTCCCTCTAGTCTTACGCTGCTAAATTAGTGACGGCTAGCGCAGATAGCCCTCGTGTAGCTTTGCGCGAAATTCAAAAGACCAAACGTTATCAAATAGTATTTGTAACTCACTTTTTATTGCATACTTTGAGAACATTAATTATACCATAAATAACAACGTTTGTAGCTAACTTTTAATTATATTCTCTAGACATTTGTTACACTATAAATAATGATATTTCAAATTACTTTTTTATTGTTAGAGCTATGTACGTTGATATTCCAGAAATTATTTTTATTTTCTAGGCATTTGTTATACAACAAATGACAACATTTGCAGCTCATCGTTTTATTACTATTCCGTATTCTGGAAATTGGTTACACTTCATTACACCATCGATTTTTATATGAATTGCTACTAATTTTCTTAAAAAATATCATTGTCACGTGAGATGGTAAGAACTCACCAAGTAACAGGGAACCCGAAACAAGCATTAAGCATGAAATGAGAAGTGGGACTTTCAGGAATATTATTCTCAACACTTTTAACATGTAGCAAATTTTCTCACCTAAAGCAGTATACCTGTGGTGTATGTATAAAACTTATTAATTATATTTTTAATATCTTGAAGAAATTTTCAAGTATGAGGTGTTAATTCAACGTTTAATTTCTATTTTTGTTCACATATTTTTTTTCATGGCAAGAAATCAAAGATGGCATTAAACGACATTATTTTTTAGAAACATTAACATGCCGTTTTTTATGTAGCGTAAATTTACAGAATCAGATTTCCAATAATTAGCCTCTTTTACGTAATTAATTAAACAAAATGTTAAGCAACAACGTCGAAATGAGTAGATAAAGAGCATATTGTTCTGAGTTTTATTGAATGCCCATGGCCGCTACATGGCCTAACTTAGAACCCAACCAACATGATATCAGCAGATGAGGAAAATGCTGCAACAAAAGGAGCGAAAACTGAATGTGTAATATTTCACGCAAAAATGTAGAATGTTTGTATAGGATAAAATTATATTAATTAGAACGTTCTTGAATACTAGATACTCTTTAAACGAAATATAAGTGTCTAAGCTGCATACATTACATGAATTGGCATCAACATCCATATTACATAGATGTCTTTACGTTGTACAGAATATTATAGAATCTAGTATAAAAAACATTTCTTATGCAAACATGGTTGCGACAAAATAAAATCATCAATGAAAATCAGTGGCTAGTTAACTAGCTGAGTTCCCACTTTAAGTAAATGTATTGTTCACGTCATAGCTTCAGACTTGTGATTTATCGTTGGCCAAGTGTTTAAGCTATTTGATGTATATCTGAACAAATTCTCAATCAAAAAGAATTTTGGGACGAATAACTCGTTTGTGAATATAATGGTTAGTTCTTTAGTTTCTAGTGCTAGCTCCCCAGTGGCACAACGGTATATCTGCGGTCTTACAGCGATAGAATCCGTGGTTCGATACCCGTTGTGGGCAGAGCACAGATAGACCATTGTGTAGCTTTATGCTTAATTACAAACAAACAATGAATTTAATAATATATTTTTGTACAATAATATTATTTTAAGCCTGTTTTTCAAAAATCAAGTTATGACAGAAATGGATAGCAAATAAGTCAAAGTACAAGCCAGAATTTGTAACTACAATATACAGCAAAAGTTACAATACAGTTGTGTAATTTGAAACACAGGTTAATTTCTAAACATTACTCTGAAATAGGTAATAGTTAAATTGGTTTCAATTGTATTAGTAATATTTTGTTTAGTATCAACCATAAATACTAACAATACCAATTCTATAATACCAACTGTATAGTAACTATTCCTCCAACCTGTTTGTTATTTTCAGCCACTACGACCACACTAAAGAAAATCGGTTTTCATCTTATCTTTCTCGTAGTTTATGACATCCAATCTGAGTTTTACTTCATGTGTTTTTACTATATATATAAAGAAGTATGCGAATAATATTTCAAATTAAACTTCGATTAAAAATCACGGTTTATAGAATTTCTTCTACTCTTACGAAATGGTTAGCATTTTGGCTACTAGAGAATCAGATCTAATCAGTACTTAGCTGGTTCTGTTAAAAATGTTTTTTAAGTGAGTCGAATAATTGATTTGAGTTTACCAGAATAATTTAAAATTTTCCGAGATTAAAATATAGATCTAACCGGATTTACTGCAATCAAATCACTAAAACTTTGCTATAAATGTTTATTTTCCTATAGATATTGTTAGCTTGTTCAAACTATTAAACGTTTTTAATCAATGAAAGAATATTTATTACAATTTCGTACAATATTGCAATTACACATTTCCGAAACGGGAAGTTTAAAAACTTCAATAGTGCTTAAAATGTTCTAACGTTTTAGATTGCCAGACGAAGGTGGAATATTCGTTGGACCTTGAATATGCTAAGTTTTTACCTATAAAGGAACTTTTCTTAACCAAGCAAATATGATAGCGACTAGCAAGGAAAATTAAACAAGACTTTGGCTCTCAAGCTTGAAATATTTACCTCTTTACGTCATCGACGTATTGCTACATGTTAACATCTAATAATTTGAAGTAGCGCAAATACCACGGCTGGTATATATATATATATAGTGTGTGTGTGTAAAAAAAGATGATTTTTCAAAGTTTCGCATGTAGAAGAATGATATTATGAGACCCTTTGGAGAGTAGATTTCATACGATACATTGCATAAACTCGAGGACTGTCGCAAAAAATGACTCTTCATTCATAAATATAAAATTCTAGCTACAACGTTCAATAGAATCATTTGAAAGTCATAACAATTAATGTGAGATTATGTAACTCAATGCATCATGTTATTCATGGCGTAACTAAGGCTGAAAGTGTGTGATATCTGACAACGTTATGGAGGTGTATTATAGTCCATCGAGAACAAGTTCCTCTATCAATGGCTTTCAGTAGAAACAGGAGTGGAAGTTTTGAATGTAAAGGATGGTCTATGTGATGGATGAATTGGTCTGAAGCACTGATCTGATTTTATTCCACCACAGGTTGATGAACGCTTCTTGACACCCATGCAAACTGAGCGCTATCTTGACGGATTGGAAAGCACCATCTTAGGTCTACAATTCCAAGCAAACTTCAACAATTTTAACCAAGGTGTGATGAAAGTACGCTGTATGGCTACTATTTCGCAAGACTACTGCAGTCACAGTGAAAAAACGGTGATTGGAGAACGACTGAAGGCAACTCCTGATCGTACGTATTAATTAATGAATATTTACAAAACTGCTGTTTCAAGCGTTAAGTTATCGATAAAATCCATGTTTCTTGCATTTCCTGTTGGGTATAAAATTCACTTTTTCTGTTTCCATTTGGTTTAAATACATATGAGCAATTCCATCTTTACCGCTGGCATTTAATAAAAACAAATCCTGTTTCGTTTTCTTTGTTTTCAACATTTGAAATTCACGTTCTGCTTTTTTCTATTACATGATTGGTTAAAAGTTGTTGTACTTGACTATTACTGACGTATGAAAAAGATTTATACCCATACTGTGTTGACATAAAATGTTTTAACTATTTTTAGTATTACAACTCTTTTCTTGTATATAAAAGAAGTATCCAAATGATTTGTCTTAACATATGTACAAAAGCTGTTTGTAATTTCTCAACTGATATATCTAGAAAAAAACTGTCATTTTCAATCTTCTATAACTTCTATTTTAATATTTCTGTTCTTTGAATTTAGGTGTGTATAAACCATGTTATTTTAGTACTGACACAAACACACGCACAACCAATTAATACTATTTGTAATTTGACTGAAAAATAATGTTATCTGTTTTCCTATTTACATATGTTACTTTCAAATCATTTATATTTAATCATTTTTACTTTTGTATGAAATCATTAAGTTTGTAGGAGATCTTCATTGGTGATAAAATTGAAATGATAAGCATAACATTAAACTATATATATATATATGAACACTACATTCTTCAAAGTATATAAAAAACCATTGTTGATGTATTGAATTTCAACTCACAATGCTTCATAATTTAATCTATTTAAAACATTGTTCCTTTTTTCTTTGAAGAGGTTTAAAGTTATCAAATAAGAGAAGAAAACTAAGGCAGCTTAAAGGCATAGAACAGTAAAGCGATTTTCAAAACAAAATTAAGCCGTAGTAATTCTATACAACTAGCTATTTTATCAGACAATAAACGAAGGTGCTATTTCATCTCATTTATTAGAAATTACTTTGATAATACCATACATTAATTATAATTTATAAAAATACAGTGTAAAGATTTCTTGTCGTCTGTGAATCTTAAAGATTAACTGTTTTACTTACAATAACGTAAAGCGATATTTGTGTAAATCTGATGTTTTTAAATTATATCAATTATCTGTCTACAATCTTTATAAGGAACTTAAAGGTCAATTTAAAGTTAACTGTCATTTATAAATATTCACAAGCCTTTGAGCATAAAACTAAAGTTTCGTCAAACAAATAATTTCTTAATTAAAACTAACTTTTAAATTGAACTGTTTGAACACTTCTAGAAAAACTTGACGCAGATATTTCTCCAAATCATTGCATTGTCACTTTGTATCTTGCTTATTATTTTATATGAAAAAAGAACAAATAAAAATGACACACGTTATTGGCTTTACAATGTTTTTAACGTGTTTTAATACGACTTCACTTGCCGAAAGAGTTTTGCATGTTGGGAATTAAACATTAAACACTTGGGCTGTTCAACATTCAATTTAAAGTCAGCTTTGGAAACTATCAAAGTAAGATTATATTGAACTAGTAAATAATGGGAAGAGAGCGACATGAGTTTGTTAGGTGTGTACATCACCATTAAACAAAATTAGACAAAAACTCTGGCAAGATTAAAATCATTTAGGAACAAAGCTTTATAATACACACGGTGACTCCGAACTTTTTTGAAGTTTAATAACCTATATGTAAACGTTGTTATTAATTTTCCACTGATTGTGTAGTGCTCGTTGCCTGTTGTTTGTGTTCCTTGTCCTCAGGACATTTTTCATCAATAAAAAGAAAACACAAGCGGGAAAATTTAATCAAATCTACAGGAACGTATTGTAACTAATTTTTGGTATTTACTCATACAGAAATCATTAACTTGACTATAGGAGAAATTAAATTAAACAGGTTTATCAAGCTCGCTGTGGTTCTTCTATTTCCAATGCTACACACGAGTTTTTACCTTTTTATTATTGATGAACCACTGCAATTCAGCAGGTCTGGCATCTATTGCCGATGTGCAGTTGACATCAACAACATCGCCCACGTGGTATCGGGAATGACCTCCACTGATCTTTGGTCCGGCTTCATTATCGACAAAATAGACTGAAAATTATGGAGTCGGTGAAAATGTATCTATGTACAAATTGACTGTATCTGTTAGTGAGGAAAATCCGTTCATTTTTCTGTGACTCACTAAATCTCTCAAGATTTACATTGAAAGTTGAAATTTTTAAACAGCTCAACATTTTCAACATGTGTATACGCTACAACGCGGGATGGCTTATTTTTAGGACTAAAAGATTAAATGTTTCCTACTGTAGAAACCATTCAATGTTAAACAGCGAAGTCACAAAGTCTAGAAAATTTAAGAAGAAGCAAAACCTTTAAGATTTTTTAACTAAGTCAAATATTAATTCATTTTAAAATCTGGTTCCTCCAAATAAATACTCTTTGAGTTGTAGATTAATGTGTCTTACCATCTGTCTCGATTGTATTTTGATAAAAATAGTCAGAGTCAAAGACTGCTTCTCCAATTCTTTGATGTGATTATGCAGAAAGCACAAATTAAGACCCATAAGTTGTTTCAAAATTCACACTACTGTGAAGTTTTGCAGTGACTATTTATATTGTTACGCTTTTCTGTCTGAGTATGTAAAGATAAGATAAGATAAATATTCTGTAGAATTCTCTGACAGTTTCTGGTTTAACACCAAACGTAAAGGAAAGAGTTCATTTTATTGTATGTTATGATTCTCCAGTTCATCATTTTGTTTCAGTGAATGATGTTAGCAACTGTACTTACTAATGATGTTGCTAACGTCCTCAGCTACCACAATCGTTCAACCAACCAATATTGTTCATTTTCTTAATACCAGAATGTTCTAGAAATCAATATATACTAATCGCTTTTGTCAACTTTCTCAATAACTAGAGTTAATATTCAACCATTATTAAATATATATATTCTTGGTTATTTTGAATTTATTCCTGACAGAACACAAAATATAAATATTTATTAACTTCGTAATTCAAAATGTTGGACGTTTTGAAACCATAAGACACTTCATTTAATTCAGAATTTTAATTTCAAATTTACGAAGCATGTGTTTGAATATATTTTAAGTCTCTAGGCATATGAAGAGGAAAAGTGTTTAACATTCGATACCGTGCTGCAAGGAAAATATTATTCAACAGACTCGCTGTTTTCAAACAATTCTTCTTCTTTGAAATTCAGTCTTCGTGCTCAACATAAAGACTGTCTCACTGTGAAGGGAAAATACAGTTCAAAGACATAATTAGTTTGAATATAAAATACTGTTTTTCCTGTGTGGATCACTAACAAAGAAACAAATATATATATATATATACCAAGTTTTATTTTCATCGACTGAACTTTTACATGAACAACTTAACGTTTGTAGACTGTAAAAAATCATATTTCTTTTCATTACTATTCACGTGCGCTGGAATAAGTATAAACTTTTTATACGTTGTTTTTACTTGTTAGATAACTGAACATGAGCTCAAAAATGTAAACCTTTATTACAGTAGAACTCGATGTTCATTTTGAGTGGTAGCTTGACTTTCATTCTGAGTGTAAGAACTCTTCTGGATTCAATTTTTCAAAGGACTTCCATACGATTTGAAATTTCAGGGTATTAAACAGCATTAGTTTATCGAGCTAATTGTTTGCAAGAATCAAAAATACTTGCCTATCGTTGAAAATAAAGTCAATAGCCATAACTGTTTCAAATAAAATCATAGACATAGTTTAGAAGATCTAAAAGTTGTGATAAAAATCACGTTAACTGCAGATGTTTCATTTCACATTTATCTTAATTTGACGCGTACTGGTATTAAACGAAAGGCCACTTGGGCAGTAACTTGTGTTAACACATATTAAATATGATAGAAATGTGCAGTCTTTGAAATATGTTGTTTTTCAACAGGATTGTGATTCTTCTTTTAATCTTTAAGATTTATCATTTTCTCTATGAAGTATTCAATGACTGACAGAGTAGGCGTTCTTTATCACTTGAATGCAGATGATTGAACCCTAAATATGTTTTGTGGTCCACGTTAACTCGATCTAGTGTTTTTACAAAACTAGGAAAAATGCTTACTGGCGGAGAACCCACTTCCTGCACCTATATGGAGCAGTTACTTCAATTCTTCTGATTGTATTTAACAATAAATTCCGCAACAGGAAGTTTTGGGTTTAGGTGAGAGTTTTACATTAATTACACTGAAATCGGGATTAAACAATGAGCTCTCTGTAGACTATACATCACCTACTCTTAAAATGGAGTAGGCCTAAACATAAGTGTTAAGAAAATATCGTACAGGTGTTTTTGACGTTAATCTAAGGTAAGTATTAAATAATGAACTTTCGGTAGCCTTTAGCACACCCAGAGTTAAAATGAAGTAGAACAAAATATGTACTAATTCATGTTAATCTTAAACATGTGTTAAACAACAGACTGTCAGTGTCCTTTAGCACACCCAGAGTTTAACGTGGAGTAGGACTAAACATTTATTAATTCATGTTACTCGATGCTCTCAACTACTGGGGTTAATCAAAGACATGTGAAATCCGATACAATGCTTCAAACTAAAAGTATTACATTGCCACGAGTTGTGTAATTACGACGTTGAGAACATTCTAGGATGTAAAGAGATGTATTATTAAACTTAGAATGTCTGCTTAATAATCGGCGAAACTGATAATAAAAAAACTAGACGTTTTAAATCAATTACGTTTATTTCTAACTTCACTGCATATTGGTGATTGATGTTTACTTTTGCAAAGTTTCCTTTTTTATTTCGTTGGCCTTCAAAGTTGCACGAAAATTAGTTTTGCTTTGCATCGAAAAATGTATAAATAGTCAGGAAGATTTTAATGATAGGTTTTACAATTTCACTCATTTAACATGGATGCATACACATTGAAGAATTGCTATAGTTTTATTTGTTCTCGAATATGTAATGAAGAAAATTCATGTTAACTGGTTACGTTTAACTACTAGTTAAAACTTTTTTTTTCTTCTAAACCACTCGGCACAGGCTAGACCTGACTACGTCATCAGATACCCTAACGTCAACTATGTGGGTGGAATGGTAGCTTCTGTGCTAGGCCTCAAGTTTCGTGTTCAACAAAATCACTTTCTTTCTGAAGGACTTCGTCTCAAATGCACCGCTACAGCTTCCAGAGTCATTGGCACTAACAGCAGAGAAGCTACGGTTGGTAACCTTCGACAAAGTTCGGGTCTACACGTATCAGAAAACAGAGGCTCCGGTAAGACTTTGATTCATTTTAAAGTTTAGTAAAGATGGCACAAAGTTTACTCAATTATTAAAACCTATAGTATGTGTGTATATGCAGTGTTCATGTTGAAAATAAGCTCAAATCAAGGATTTGAAGCAATATAGAAGTATAGTGATGTCTGTGATGCCTCTTCTAAACTCATATTGCCAAAACACAATGAAAGCCATTTTTATCTCATTATGTTATTTATCCTTCAGACATCAATCGAATATATGTAATATCGAATATATTTTGAGCTTTTAATAGATTTAACATAAAAAGGGAAATTTTGAATCATGAAAATACATCATTGTTCTTCTTGATGTGTATCATCTATTATAATTAAAAGCAATCATTCAGTATTCCTTGCTTAGTAATATGGTTTCTAATATTTTGATTTTCTCTTGTTTTTTTATCATTCCGTTATTTTTCTTCTCAGTTTTGAACAAGAGCTCCGGCTGTTACGTCCATGTTTGGCTTTTCTGGTGTTTGGTGGCGCTACATTATTCTGTGACGGACTAGTGTGCCACTCGACACTTTCAAAAACAGGACAGCGACTGCAGTGTCTGTGTGTTTTTCTTTTTTTACGTAGTGACAATTTCGGTAGCCGTCACTATGAAAAGTCAGCCAAATGGAGCTACATCTGCAGGAACGCTGCGTAAAAGAGAATCGGGTTGCTGTTTGATGTCATCTTAAAAATACCTACATTATTAAGCCGCTAATCCAGTAACCTTCAACAAAATGTTAGCAGCGATTGGCCTCGGAGAAAACTTCCATGTGACAGGAGTATTGTGATATGGTCGTTTGTGTTTTTGTGTTAACTTCACATCTCAATTAACAGCTCGTGTAGAAGTAGTAAAAAAACGACCCGCCCCAAACCCACAATCCTGTAAGCACGCTCTATGGGGATTTCTGTGATACGTAGAGTTTATTTTCTAAGATTTCGCTACTTGTAACAGAAATCATGCACACCTCTAATGAGTTAAATCGTTGTTTTCAATTCACCTGTGTTCTAGCTTTAGTGTAAATGCTTGTCCAAACCCCGAATTGATGTAGCCATTTAACTACTTATATACTGTAAATTATAAAGTTTTTTCCCGAACTTTCTATTACCAATGTAAAGCTCTATCTAAGAATAAGTACGAAACATGTACAAACAACAGCAACAAATAAACAAGGTTGTAAAAACTTCAACATTCTGAATTCACGGAGACAATAATTTGAGTTACTTCTCTTCTTTAAGTCCTATAGAGATGCAACACTTTGGAATGTCTTCACATGATTTTTCTTTCTTTCACAGTTGTCGAGTACAAACTTGGTTGAAACATGCTTGTTAGAGGTAATATTTATCAGCTCTAACATTATAGATGTTGTTATATTTCAAGTATCATACAACTGGTGGTTGGAAACTGCTTGTTAGAGGTTATGTTTTTAAGTTTCGGTGTTAAAAATGAAAATGTTGTTATTAAACAGAATTTGTTTTAAAAATGTTCTATTCTTCTTAATTTGTGGTATTCTCCCTCGACAAAAACGTGCTAATAACCAATAACTTTCAAATTTTTTATTGGCCGTAACATAGAAGAGAAAGTGTTTTTTCCACCTGTTTTTAGTGGAGTTTGCTGTTGATGTAATTGACTGAGACAACCTACATTGTTAATCTTATAAGCATTGTCTCTAACATTATAGATGTAGTTTTATTTCTAGTGTCATAAGACTGGATACGTCAAGAGCTAGCGTTTTGAAAGTAAACTATTATACTAGAAACTACTCATAGAAATAACTATTATACAAGTAAAAAGTTAATTATTGCATTGTAATTGGTTTTCCCCAGAGTTTATCTATTTCTGCAAGCAAATTGATGGTGTACATAAAAGCCAAAAAATATTAGCTTGTATTGTGAGTCATACACAAGAATCTTTGGTAAGAATAAAATTATAGCTCGTGACTAGAATCTTTAGGATGGAAAAGCAAAAAAGTTATTTCATTATAGTCAGTGAATCAAGTAGTTAATTCTAGGAAGTCAGTTTTATTTCTGTTTTCATAAGTATAGGGGAAAAACCTGATTGTTCAATGTGACAATTCTAATATTATAGATGTAGCTTTCTATCTAGTTTCATAACATTAATAGTAGAGACTTACTTGTTAGAATTTATATTTAGCAGCTCTAACATTATATATGTAGTTTCATTTCTAGTGTCATAAGACTGGGGGTTGGAAACTGCTTGTTAGAGGTAATATTTAGCAGCTCTAACATTATAGATGTAGTTTTATTTCTAGTGTCATAAGACTGGGGGTTGGAAACTACTTGTTTGAGGTAATATTTAGCAGGGCTGAAAAGTTTTATATATGATAACAGTTAAGTATTGTTTTTTCAACAATATCTTTTCTAGCCGCAATAAATAGATTTCTAGTTTGTAAGCCATAGTTGCAGGATTGTACATTTTTCAGTATTTTGTTTAAAGTAATGAACCGTGCACTGAACCCATTCAAATCGTCCTAAATTGAACATAAAGATAATCACATAACATCATCATCCTACCTATATAAAAAACATAAGACCAAACCTAACAGAACTTTACAGATAACACTCCCTTGAAAAGTGATGATTTGTATTTACTTTGCGTTTACGTTAAACAGTCCAAATGTTAATTTGCTTTCCAAATATTTCTCTTATACGATGAAATTAAAGGTATGGGATCAAAGTTTGTAAGATATCCCAACAAAGATGTTATGAGAGTTGGTAAAACATCATTCGTTTTTACCCAAAAAAGCTGCAACCTCATCTATACTTACCCATACTAAGCATTTGGGTCTGAAAATAATGTTAAAAATATTTTTTCAGAACGATATTTTTGAAAACGCGGGCGACTTTTTGGGTCTAAGTGCTTAAAAATGGTTTTAACTGAAAGCTACGATTAAGTTCTTGTTAGGTTTCTCTCAAATGTTTAAACTAAGTTTAACGTTTACAGCATTTCAGATTAAACACTGACTACCACTACTTTGTAAGAATAAAACGTGGTCTGCGTGCCTACTCTTAGCGAATTTCTTAACAAAAACAAGTGTCACAAAATAAATTATAGTTCCAAAATATAAGTATTGTTTCATCTTCTTAAAATGTTTCTGCCAAGTTGATATATACTAGAAATATAAACAAAGCAATTTAATTTGAAACAATAGTGATTAAGAACCATGACTTCCAAACAATGTCGTGGAAAGAACTGGTAACGAGCTAATGGAAGTAAAAATAAAGCAACTCAAAAATTGTCATCTTAATGTCTTGTCATTTCTTTATTTTTTCGCGATTTTTAACGGTATTTGTTTTAATTTTCTTTAGTAGCTGCTAATGGAAGTGGCGAGTCAAGCGTGATGTACGGCTACTGAAACCCATTATGCGTGTGACAAAAATCACCCAAGCTTGAAATGTGTTTAACTTAGACTCCCAATAAACAGATAATCTCGTTCCCATCATCATCAACCGCTAGAAAGACACTTTGATAGTGTTCACTCACTTCTTTCTTCAGTTGTCGAGTAGCAATACAGAAAGGTCTTTGCCACCAGGGCTTGCTGAGAATCGATTGTTTACAGAACCCAAAGAATTCCAGACGCGAGATTCCTGTAAAAGCCCATGAGTATTAGAGGTAGAGACCATTTAGAGTCGTTACACTTGTAAAGTGTGAAATAGTATTTATAAATCAGATAGTCAGATAAATAGTTTATAAGATTGAAGTCTGAACACTTTTCGGATACTATGTGTTTGAAGTATCAAACAAAATAACTACTAATGACCTCTAACAATTAAGCTTAAAAACAGTAGAATTAAATTTTAAAAGCATAACCAGACTTACTGTAACATTTCAGCTTTATAGCTAATAAAAGTCAAAAGTAAACTCGATATTTGTGAAACTAGTTAAACATAACAGGAAATACTTCAAAATAATAACAAACTAATTGGTAATTACGTATAAATGCAAGTTCCTTATAACATGTGCCAATCTCGATAATTCATACCATGTGTAGAGATACAAAAACGTATACACTATTCCAGCTTTCGTAGAAACTCGATTTATAATAGACTTACCGCACATTGGTAACTTTAGGGAAGCATTACAAACTATTATACTTAACTTTCTGGTTGAACTCTCAAACTTCAACAATACATTTTCTTGGAAAAAACATTTCGTATAAAAACAATATATAATACATATTATGGTTGATTAAAGGCATATTGTTATTTCATGTTTTCCAGTTTTGTTTTCGATAAACAATAAAGAGAATATTATTAGAATTCTTAATTAACTGGTTCAGTCTATACGTTGAAAGACTGCTTGAGGATAGATATTTGTGTAGCAATTATTTTATTTAATGTCTATCTTTCCACCTTAATACATTAGTAATATAACTATCAAAGTGTTTCAAAAAATAATAAAGTTTCAAGAAGTTCATAACGCTCATAATATTGAAGCCAATATTTATTTCACATTTTGCCTCATACATTATTTCACAGGTAAATCATGTACATTAAAACAAAACGGTGACATTTCATTTGCTGCCTTTTATCAAATTTATAGTAACAGAAATGTTTAAGATGTCATGTTTATTCCTTTTTTATTCAAGAAAACATATTTTCAGCATAAAAAACGTGTAATGTGAATTAACCTAAATACATTATTGAACTAGGAAATGTCTCTTTTTTATCAGGTATTTACTTATTTTCCGTTTTAATTGATGCTTAATGAACCCTTATTGATAGTGAATCCTTTTAATAAGTCCTATAGAAACAGATAAAGGGTACGGATGCCTAAAACGGCTACTTTATTGTCATTCCTTGTGTAAAATATATTTTATAGTTGAGTTAATATTCTTAAAATAACATTTTTTTTTATCTGACCGCTTCTGCCACAGCCTTCTGCTTGTCTGGCTTCAATTCAAATACAGCTTATTGGCACCGAAGAATTAGAAATCAATACGTCTAAGATTTGTGACAAAAATAACATAAATGAACATGCTATTTTTTGCACATTGCTCTTAATTTGTACATTTCGGATTCGAGATCAGAAGTGTGTAAAAAACAGCAAAATCTTAGATCTGTCTTTAGTTTCCCACAAATCATTACCCAGAAGACCTTTCACTTAATACCAGATAGGCTGACCGACGATAGAAAAAAGTTGCTCTGAAATGCATTAAATATATGCACACACATATATACAGTACTAGCAGAAACGCCGCCTTACGGACGGCTGTTCGTTCAGGATCTTAGCGAGTAAACGGTGTGTTTCTCTGTCTTGAAATTGTTCCTGACTTCTTGTAACTGCTTCTTGGCGGACAATTTGATGTGCTTCTGTATTTCAAGTTTGTTCCTGGCTTCTTCTCACTGTATCTCTTGCCTCATAACCTGGTGAGTAACTTACATCCTGACGTTTCATTTTCTTTCTAAAACTTTCAGTCTTTCTCCGTGATGAGTCACTTTTCCGTTTGGAAGTTCTTGACATCGTGGTTTTCGATGTTTTTGATAACTTTATACTCATACTGAAGTAAAAAAAAATACTTGTATAACTTACGAAGATCGGGTTACCACAAAATTCCTGCAAATTTGTATGTAACGAACTCCATACGAAGGACTTGCAATTCCTTCGGTCACAGAACACTTCAGTTCATATTTACGCTTGGATTCTCCAGCAGAAAAAGTCACTTTTCTTTTATTGGTTTCTAACTATTCGCCAGTTCTTTTTTTTTTTGGCGCTTAAACAGAAACTTTTAAAGTCTTATCTGGGTTTATAACAGGCTAATGTCCATCTGTCCGCATAACTCCTCCCACTGTTTAAGTCCGACTTGGATTAGACTTCGCCCGATTTTTCAGCATAATAAGGGGAAGTTCCTAACAAAGTTTCATTACAATTAAATCTTTTACCAAAAAAAAGTTTATTTAGTGCATGTGTCCACTGTTTTTAAAGAAATAAGTCAATAATAGCTTTATGTCGCACCAAAATGAAAAATTTGATAAAATAGACCCTCGTTAAGATCAAACAAATAATAGTACCTTATTTTATAATATTTTTTTCCTAAATCACTTGCTTAATAGAGAAATGGTACTTCTTTACTTATTAATAATGTTCATTTATTACTACACTTATTATTATCAACGAAACTAATTTTTCAAGAAAACTTTTAAAATTGTGGTAAAGTGAGTTTAATGC